AACAGTGCATGGTGACTGGTAATTTAGAGTAGGGGTGGGCATGTGGTTGATGAGATAAACTGCTGTTTGGAAAGCATAAGGCCAGGTATATCCGAGGGACATGGGAATAATGCAACAAGGATAGTCCATTTCAACTATGTGACGATGACGACGTTCGAACAGGCCATTATGTTCCGGAGTGTGGGGTGGGGATGTAAAGTGGGAGATACCATGAGTGTTGAGGTATGGTTTTAATTTAATATATTCACCCCCATTATCAGTAAAGAGAGACACAAGAGGAAGTGAAAAATATTTTTCTACTAATTTGTGGAATTGAGGAAAAATGTGTGACACATCAGATTTTTGTTTAAGTGGGAACAACCATATGTATCGGGAGAAATAGTCAACAAAGATATCGTAATAGCGAGCACCATCCACACTAGGAGAGGAGGTGCTCCAGACATAAGAATATACGAATTGAAGAGGAGTGGTAGCATGCATTATATTCGTAAAGAAAGGAAGCTTGGTACTTTTATTTATGGAGCATGAATTACAATGCAAAAAGGAAGTACTACGCTGCATGTGTTTATTGTGACTGATTAAATAATTAAAAATACGAGATGACGGGTGACCAAGATTATGGTGCCATAAGGAGGACGGAGTGAGATGCGTGACATGAACATGAGGAGTGACAACTGGCACAAAGTATAGATCATTGTGATTCTCTCCTCGGAGTAGCGGCGCCCCCGTGATCCGATCCTTAACAACAAAATAGGTGTCAAAAAATTCAACAGAGACATGTTTAGTACGACAGAGTTTAGCAACGGAAATTAGATTTTTGTGAAGAGTGGGGAGACACAAAACATTGGGGAGGGACAAGGGTCGTTGGTTTGTGGGTATTGTGGTGGTACCAGTGTGTGTGATTCCAAGTTTCTTACCATTCCCAAGTTGGACCTCCTCTGGACCCCCATAGTCAGTGTAGGTCGGTAATTGAGACACATCGGATGCAACATGATGTGAAGCGCCACTGTCAAATAGCCACTGTGAATGTGCAGAATCCACGGCCATGGCAGTATGATTTACCCTCGGTGGATTCATTTGAACATTGTTCTCCCGAAGGAATCATTGTAGCTTGCGACACAGCTTGACATCATGACCTGCATTTTCACAGAATTTGCATATTACTGGAGAGGATGAGCACTGCATGGATGTCCCTTGGTGCATTCCACGTCCCCTACGTGACTGGAAGCGACGGTCAGGAGATGAAGCATTACCACGATCTGGAGGGTAGGAGTGGCCAGTCAGATTTGTAGCATTGACCGCAGGAATAAGTGATTCCACTGCCGCAGATTGCTCTCTTTGACGTGTTTCAAGCTCCGGCAAGATTTCCTGTAGTTCCGCCATGGGCAGCGGTGTGGGGCGAATTCTTATGGTAGAGATCAATTCATTATATTCCAGTCCTAGACCGTTCAAAACACCGATAACTAAGTCCTCTTCTGGAACCGGATTTTGTGCTAGTGCCAAAGCATCCGCAATGACCTGCATCTCGGCTAGATATGTGATGATAGTGTTGGAGCCCTTCTTGGTGCGGGCTAGAGCAGTTTTGAGTGAAATGATTCTGCCGTGGGAGGAGCTAGCGAATGTGAGACTCAGTTTGTCCCATGCTTCTTTAGCAGTGGTAGCCGAGGAGATGATCGGCTGAATAGTTTCGGAGTAGTTGCCGAGGAGGGCACTAATAATCATCTTATCCTGACGATACCAGCAAAGGTACACCGGATTTGGTTGCGGTTTTGCGGCATCGGTGAGCTCATCTGGTGCGGCGGTAGTTCCCGTGATATAATCCAATAAGAGCGGATTGAACTTGGCATCTCCAAACCGGAGAGTTGATGGAGGTAAGTTTGATGGGAAAGTGATTCGTGGCTGTGAGATGAACAACCGAAGTATGGGCGTCAGTCGCCATGATGCAGGATCAAAGAACGAAAAAATATATAGCTCTCAAAAGATCAGGCTCTTGATACCATATTAAACAATAACGAAGAAGAATGTTTTGTATTATTCGTGTCTATCATAGTTGGCCGCATGAGTGTATAAATACATGATAGTGGAGATATCATCTCCTAACTAATAGGAGAGATCTTTGTAATTAGGCTACACGCTTGGTAACTACCATAAATATAATTACAGTACTAACTCTACCAAATTATGTACATAAATAATAGAATAATTTGTACAATGTATTTATGATTTAATATTGTACACATCAGCACTACTACACGCAAGTACGCAACAACATTTCTCAAATGCGGACTCCAAAAAATCCTAAGTTCACAAACCTCGCTGAGGTGCTACCTCGTCCCCTCAATTAAGCTCATACTAATACTCTTTACACTTAGAAAAATTTCTATGTCCAAAGATTGGGTGCATCAGCTAAGGCCGTGGAAGTAGCAACTAACTTGGAGGAACACAATATCAAGTCCACTGGTTACTATGGTGGAGCGCTAAGCTCGAGCTCATCTCTTTTTTTGCGGGGCGTCGCCTTATTTTCTAGAAGTTACCTGAAAGCGGAGTATACTCTTTTTTCTCCGTTTGGATTTTTTCCACAAGTTTTTTACTCAGCGGAGTTTTTAATGAGGCGCTCTTTTGTTGTAACCATGGAAAGAAGTGCCCCCACCGGGTGTGCCAACCCCGAAGGTTGAAGAAAATACACTCTATCACCTCAAGTGTGATTATCGCTTTAGAGAGTGGGGGACTCATGATATTCCCCTATACCCTAATGTTATTAACATTTATGGATAAACAATCTCCCAAAATCCGTAAGGCATTTACCGTCGAGGTTGAGCTCGTACTGGAAGAGGGCGGTAACCAAATCATGAGTTCTCAAATAATCGAGATAAGTCTAAAACTACAATCGAGCCCGAGCTCGGCACTTACTGGGGTCAACGACAAAGGTTTCACTATGATCGAGCTTGAACTCAACTAGCGCCCCCATGAAGTCCAAGATCTAAAAGGAGCATTAATTACTTCACATGGGCAAACTGAGGCCACCCTCCTATTTATTTTAGTACACTGTCCTCTGAGCTCAACTCCGCAGAGCTTGTGGCCTCAGGAAGATTATAGACTTAGCTATTTTCAAAACTCAAGTTGTACACATAGTTGAGACTACGTCATCAACATTATAATTGTCTAGTAGGACTGACGTCATTCATGCGATTACACACATAATGATCTAGAATTTACATGTGTGGCTTGCATGTGCGTTCCAGTACAAAGTGAGCTAAATTAATTAGTTAGGCATTGTACCAATCAGCCAACCATCTCCATTCTCTTGCCAATCAAGCTTTACATGTTTCGCCATATTATTATAATAGCATCTTTTTTACTTGTTGCCCACGTGTTTCATTAATACTATAAATATGTCCTTCCTACTTATGGAAAGGGATCCTCATTTTTACATAATAACATTTCTAACTTCTTTATTTTTACAAATGGGAAAATATATCATTTTCTTATAAAGATTCCATTAATGATTTTATTTCAAAGACCGCTTGGAGGAGAGCCTTATTCAAATGAAAGTTAACTGACTATGTAATATTATTTTAATATTGTCTAATTTGTTTAATTTAAACATTACAAAATTTTTATATTTTAGTGAGATATGTAATATGGAGTATATTTGTATTTCATGAAATTTAGTTATCGTATAAGAGGAACATAATAAATACTTGGGACTATTTTTTCTTGTTCTATGAGCCTCGATTCTTGATCGAGATTCTTGATAAAGCAGAGTGTCTAAACATAGGGATGTTAAAAAAAAACCCGGCCCGCAATGACCCGTCCTGGCCCGAGACATTTGGGGCAGGTCTGGCCCGCCTCGTCTTGCAAATGGGGCGGGTCCGCCCCACCTACACAATGGGGCGGGTCCGGGTATTAGTATTGACCCGTGTCGCCCCACCCCACTCTGCCCCGACCCGCTCAATATACAAGTATATACATACTTTTTCTTAAATTATACTACGAATATACTTCAACATCCATATGTGTGTATACAATAAATCATAAATTCTTTGATCTTATAATATATCAATATATATATATATATATATATATATATATATAGAATAAGGATCAAATGAGAAGAGTGCTTATCGTAAGAAGTGAGAATGCATCTGGTGCGTTCATTTTAAGATATGTGCATCAGATTAGCAAAAAAAGTGCACGAGAAAATGCAAAAGATATTAAAAAAGTGATGCTAGATGCGGTGGCATATCCGAAATTAATCGGAACTTTTCTGCCATCGCAAAAAGTGCATCAGATTAGCGAAAAAGTGCATCAGAAAGAAGCAAATGTGAAGCTTCTCACTTCTCACGTTAAGATGTCTTCTTATTAGAACCCAACCCTATATATATATATATATATATATATATATATATATATAATTAATACATAGTATGCGTCGTTCAATCATCTTATTTTTCGGGCTAACGTTGAACTTTGATTATCCGTCGTTCATCTCAATCTAATATATATATATATATATATATATATATATATAGCATTTTAATACAAATATTCAAGTATTAATATAATTAAATAGATTAACTATTCAAGTCTAAGTGATTTTTCCTTAACTTTTGAAATTTCTAGCGTATCGTGAATTTGATTTAATATATTCATTTTTAATAATTATTTAAAAATAAATTTTATGTAGATTCAATTGGTAACAACTTCTCACAAATAAAAATGCGTACTAGCTAATTAGGTTACAACGGGGCGGACGAGGCGGATCCGTCCCGTATGGGACGGGTCATGGGTCAACATGCTTGGATCCGTGCAGATCACGGGACGGGGCGGACGGTGGACTCACCCCGTCAAATCACGGGGCGGATCTGAGTCTTGCAGTACCCGCCCGCCCCGACCCGACCCGACCCATTGCCATGCCTATCGAAACATCTCATTTTACTCTTACAAACTACCAACTCTGATCTTCCAAGAACCTTCCTCACTAGTCCCCCGTATAGTTAGTCGATGTTACCGTGTGTTGTACCGCGTGTTGGTGTTTTATATCCGTAGCTTTCCACTCTGAACTCATTCCCTCCTTTCTATCCCTACTAAAACACTCCAAGTAAAACTTCTGCGGCCGGGTTCCCTCCCACATGGATCCTCACGTTAAAGACGCTTTTCGAAGAGAAGAAATGGACGAAAGCACGTCCAAGAAATACGAGCTGGGCGGCAAAATCATGCTCAGCGCCATCGTCATTCTGTTCGCCGTCGTTGTTTTCATTGCCGCACTGCACCTCTACGGCCGCTGGTACATCCTGCGCCAGCGCCGCCGCGACCTCCGACGCAGGCGCAACCGCAACCTCCACGCCCAGATCGTGTTCTACATTGACAACAATGATCCCGCTGTCGCTCACTCTGCCAACCGCGGCCTCGATCGGGCAGTGATTGAATCGCTCCCAGTTCTCGAGTATTCCCCCGCGAACCGGGTCGGTTTGACGGAGTGCGCCGTCTGTTTGTCGGAGTTCGAGGATAACGAGAAAGGCCGGCTTTTGCCCAAGTGCAATCACACTTTCCACATCGAATGCATTGACATGTGGTTCCACTCTCACGCCACGTGCCCGCTGTGCCGGACTCCGGTCGAAGCGTTCACCGAACCGGAGGAGACCACCGTTACAGAGACCGAACCAGCCGCCGGAAACGGAACCGGATCGGGTAGTACTTCTGAGTTCTGCATAGATGAAAACACCACTACGACGTCGTTGGGTTCACGGAGAAAGGGGTTTGATTTCACGGCGGTGAGGTTACAGGTGCCGACTCGGAACGAGTTGAATCCCGAGTTCGAGCAGAGCTCACCGGCGAGTTACGCGTTCAGATCGCCGGGGAGTCGGCTGATGTCGCTGAAGAACATACTGAGCATGAACAAGAGGACCTCGAGTGGGCCCAGCACCCCGCTGCCGGTGTCCACCGAGTTGGACTTGGAGTGCGGCGGCCGCGTCAGCGAGTCGACCCGGAGACGGACACCGAGGTGACAGCCAACGTTCGCCGTTAGTTCAGACGTAGTACTATAAAATTTTGTTTTGAAAAAGTCAAGGCGGCGGCATGTGGGGTTTGAACACAATGTTTGACTCTTATTCCCGAAATTAAACACAGCCATGCTGAATAACGTGGGCGGGCAACTCAAGAGTCCGTGACCGTTGGATCATTACACGTGGCGTTAGATGAATTCATGGAAACGCGGCAGTGTAGGTGACGGAGGAAACATGTTCACGCACCAAGACGTGTATCACCGGCGAGTTTGACTTGTATATTTGGATCGTATCGTACTTTCTCAGTCGGTCACCAAATTCGTAGAGAAATACTGTACACCGTATATTTATTAAATTAAATTTCTTATTTTTAGCGAAATCGCAAGTTACGCCCTAATTTGATGGTATTGGTCTGAACATGTTTACTTAATTGGTTCTTAAATAGTTAAATGTGGTTAGCACAGTAATGTTATCAAAGTAAGATGCTATACTGTGTGTTTGTCGCTTAATTACAACCATGATTAATTAAACTCGTGACTCACATGCATTACTATTTACTTTGGAAGTTTACGCTTGGATTTATTTATTTTCATATTACAATAAAATAGATCAAACCAATATTGTGTATTTTTCAATTACCGGAAAATTAATAACATCAACAATAATAAGAACAATAATAATGAAGCTGTATAACTGGGATTTGATCAATAGCCTCAATCAATCAAGTAATATTTACATATAACTAATCTGGATTTTTTATTAAATGAAGGGAGTATAAACATAGCAAAAATTCTCTATGACTATTTAATTACTAGTATTATTAACATAGCAAGAACTTTTATTATTTTGCTAGCGTATTTGAATGTAGAAAATGGAACTTCTATTTTTTTGGGAGAAAAGTGGAACTTATATTGCATCAATCCTAAATTACGTTCACTTTGTGATCGAGTAAGACTTCCTTCAAAAGTATTACCCAACATTTTAAAACGACAGATTTACAACATCAGATACATGTAAGACATTCTAAAAAATTGGGTAAAATGATTAATTTTTGAAGTTTATACGGTGTCCAAAGAATGTGACTTCTGTTTACCACCAAATTTCCTGTTTTTAATAAAACATAAATTAAGGACTACCGCTGTATGTATCTCGTAGGAATTTTTAAAAGATCTTCTTGGAATTGAGCAAAAAGTTGGAACTTCAATAAAAGTGTGTACATATATGTGCTTTCTTGGTCCTAAAAGGTGGAATTTCCCACCCCAGGAGCCCCCACCCCGACCCGACAGGATGGTGGGGATGTTAATCATGGTGACTCAGTCATCAAAGCGTCGGTAGACCTTATACACGTGCGCACCAGAGGTCCAGCCTTATTTCAGGTTCTGTAACCTCCACACGGCCACTGCGGGTTTCGAACCTTGGTCACTTAGTTCAATTTTACCACCACTCGACCAACTGAGCTACCCGTGAGGGTCATATATGTGCTTTCTTTCCGCTACTGACGACGGCTTCTCTATTTTGTTAATAGGTATGTTCAGATTGGTAAAAAAAATTAAGAAATGATTTGAGCAAGCTAGACATGCAACGTGATTCACAAATCTAACCGGCGCCTATCACTGATTAAAATAATAAAATTTTAACTAAGCACATGAAATGTACAGATGGCACAAGAGTAAAGGGATTGATAATCGATTACGTTTCTACTCCTCCGTCCTAAATTGATTGGCAAAGTTAACATTTACTCCCTCCGTCTCGTTGAATGTTCTCGGTTTGACCTACACACATATTAGGGAAATAAACTTATCAGGGGGTAAATTTTACTGTTTTGACACTGTTTCGACACTGTTTGGCACTGTTTCGACACTGTTTGACAATGTTTTATTTGCACTGTTTCGACACTGTTTGACACTGTTTTATTTGCACTGTTTGATCCTGTTTTGATGTAGGATAACTTTCCATTTAGGGAAATGGGAACTTTCCAACGAGACATCCAAAAAGGAAAGCAGGAACATTCCAACGGGACGGAGGGAGTATTAGTTAATCGCTGTTAAAGTTAAATCATCTCTATTGATAATTAAATTACTCCCTCCGTCCCATATTTATCTTCATAGTTACTATTCACATGGTCAACTCAAATTACTCTTAATCTTTTACTTTATATATCAAATTTTTATCAAACATAATTTTTCTTGATCAGACTTTGTAGCGGATTTAATGTAGTTTCTGAATATGTAAATTTAATTTACTAAAAAAAATATGTGAACAGGGATCAAATTGCTTTAGCGTTAGTCAAACATCGTAAACCGAACTACGAAGATAAATATGGGACGGAGGGAGTAGTTTTTAATAAATAAAATTTAGATATTCAAAAAGTACATTAAAATCTTTTAGAAGTTACAAACTCCAAATTAGAATATAATTAAAATTTGACATCCTAATTTAGTGAGTAAAATGAATCTTTTAACCAATAAAAGTCAGTTTTGCAAATCAATTTAGAATAGAGGTAATATTTTTTTTAAAAGCAATAGAATCGGAATCAATATATCGGAAGCTGATATCTCTCAAATTCAAAAAATACTTCTGAGAGTAATTCAGAATAATCAGAAATATTTCTACACTTTCACTTAAATACTTCAATATCTATTTATGCTTCTTGAATAAAGACGGATAGTATATCCGGTGGGTACCACTGAGAGGTACGTAGAGAGTGTTCAGAACAAGTAAGAGAGAGAGAGAGTGAGTATGTATTCAATGAAGAAGTTATATCGTTTGCAATTGAAGAATGACTGCTATTTATAGCAGCCATAAATGCTAGGTGCAATAAATGAGGCTACACATGTCAAGCAACCAACGGTGGAGAGTGAACTCGGTTAGGCACAGCATGTGGCACCAGCATAGCATGTGGCCGCATTCAACGTGGTGGTTTGGATGTGACGTTGCATTCAATGCGGTGATCCAGCGCATGTGGAGAGGAGATCCTATTGAGCAGAGTGCCGTCGGCTACATGCACCCAGGGGCTGCATGTGCCGAAGGCGATGTATGAGCCGAAGGCTGCCTGTGCCGAAGGCCGCACGTACCCAGGGGCCGTTTGGATTCGAAAGACATACGTCCCCTCGGTGCTTCATGTGATGAAGGACGTACATTCCCTGGGGTCTTCATGTGATGAAGGTCGTATGTGCCCTGGGGACTTCATGTGATGAAAGACGTACGTCCCCTGGGGTCTTCACATTGATGAAGGCCGTACGTCCCCTGAGGTCGTACGTAGATGGGGAGGACTTCATGTGATGAAGGCCGTACGTACCCAAGGCTCTTCATGTGTTAGAGGCCGTACGCACCCAATGCTCTTCATGTGTTAGAGGCCGTACGCACCCAATGCTCTTCATGTGTTAGAGGTCATACGTACCCAAGGCTCTTAATGTGTGAGAGGACGTACGTACCCAAGGCTCTTCATGTGTTTAAAGGCCATATGTCCCCTACACATTGTTGTAGTATGAGCTGTCCGAGTCTTGTTTGCTGTATTTGGGCCACTTGGGCCTGTTGAGCCTGATTGTAGGAGTGGAAGTATGTGGGCCGGGGGTCCCTGGGCCATATACTCCGCCAGGAGTCCCCCACTCCTTTTGCCGAGAGCTTCTCGAGGGAAATAGGAGTAAGTGTAGTGAAGTCGCCGGTGGCTGCCTTGTTGTAGCTGAGAAGTAGTGAAAACTTTGCGTTTGCGTGTTTTGCCGAGGGGAGTCCCTCGGCCCCCAACATTTTGAGACTGAAGGCTTTTGTTGATGCCTTGAAAAACCACCTAGTCCCCCACTCCTTGAGGCACATGTAATGAGGTGAAAAGGAGTAGAGTAATGTATGTCTTCAACAGGGGGCCGAGGGTCGACACCTTCTGATCCACAATCAGGAGATGCCTCGTTAAAAAGTTCATTAGGAAAAACCCTGTGGGAAAAAATCCTAATGGGGAAAAAGAGTGCACCGGATGCCCCCAAAATGAAGCAAGAGGGGTGAACCCCTCGGTTTGGGTGTGGAGCTGCAGAGGTGTCCGTCTGCTGAGGGAAATGGGTGTTACCGCCACATCCGGCCATCTCTTAACCGAATGCACAGGCAAACCAAAACAAAACAATAAAACTAATGTCATAATAAATAAATGTTTATTTCTTGACTAGGTTTGACTAAGGCATCTTCTAAATCACTCTCAGGTTCAAGCAACCAATCAGTCAACATAAGCTTCCAACTCATCATCTGTTAAAAATTTAAGTGAGTGAAAGGAACAGGAAAAATAACAAAAATTAGCTTTAGAGCTAAGAAAGTACTACCCAACCCCGTATAATATTATATAAAAATGACGCACTCCACCAAAATACTTTTCTCTTTTATTTTTCTTAAAATCACTTCTTTGCTAAAATCCTCAACTTTTCTTCGAAAATACTATAGTAACTCTTCTTTTAGAATTTCTCAAATTTCACTTCTTCTCTATCTTTCTAGTAATTAAGAAGGGCGGTGCTCAACCTTTCGACTGAGCCCGGTGGACCGTGGTTACGGACGGCCACCCCGAACAAATGCCGGTACCACAACTGCTCTTGCGGAAATGAAATGACTACCTTAAGTGTGCACACCCCCTAAAAGGGATTCCAAGCCCTCCGAGTAGTAAGTCATCCCGAGTGATCGGAACCCAACCACCCACCTCTAAAATTCTTGAATGATTAGGGACTACTACTATAACTTCTTCTTAAAAGGGATCATAGATCCAAATGTCACTTGAAACTTAAACTGTACTTCTTAGTAGTAGTAGCTCTAATCACCCTCCACATTTATCCGGATGTGGAAAACCGACACCTCGGATTACTCTCGAGATGCTCACTTCTTATAAAAATGTAAATTTTATCTTCAATTAATACTTCAAAAATACTTCTCAATTTCTCTAAAAAGTCTCGAAGGTATTTAAAAATATTTAATACCCCAAAAGTACTCAATTTATATTTCTCAACTACCATATATATAATATCTCCTCAAAATCACATACACAAAATTCAAAATTCACACTTAATCACATAATGCATAATAAGCATATAATACGAGGAAACAATTTTGGATTGACAGAGAAACTTACAATTTAGGGTTTATCCAAAACTAGTTCCAAAATAGTATTTAATACCATATTCAAAATAATCCAATAAGGATATTTATAACTCCAAAATATATATGTAAATTTTCATACCAAATTATACATTCAAAAATATATAATTTATCCCAAAAGATTTGATCTCACAACACTTTCCAAAAAGAGGGTTTAACCCAAACAACCACTTCCCAAAAGTAGCATTTACTACTAGCACCAAAATAATCAAATTGGAGTATTCTGAACTCATAATATATTTTCAATATAACCAGTTATAATAGTCTCAAATCATTCTTCAACTCATAACAAAACAATCACCAAAATTTTCCAATCCCAAAAGAACAATCATCAATAATCACAATTTTAGCCATGATAAACTGATTTGATAAATTCACCAAAAATCACACGTTCATAAATTCCCAGAAAAGCATACATCATCA